AACAACTCATTGGATAGTCCACTGAGCAGACAGAGCACCTCCTACATATCCGATACACCGAAGCAAATTGCGCATCAAAATTGGAAATTTGTCGAACAGCTGCTCAAAGAGACAAAAGGTGGTGTCTAAGAATATGCCGAAAGCTGTTATATGTGTTAACTTTCCCTTATCCTTATGCCATATACCGTCATTTTCCTCTCTTATCTTGGCGTTAACATATTGGAGGAATATTTTCATGTCGTCCTTCGGCAGATAGGATCTGTTCGTCAGCAAGGGGTCCCACATGGTGACGACTTCTTTCCATAGTTTTATCATATGTTGGATTGTATCTTTCAGCTTGCGATTTTTCGAGATTTTACTTTAATATCAATTTATGAATGCCACAGTGGGAAACCTGGTATAAAGCACTGGTTCAGTATCGCGGTAGTAAGGCAGCATGGGAAAATAACAATTCTGCACGAGTTTAAATCCACAGCGGCGCTCTGTTACAGTTGTTGGCATGTACTACGATTGAGTCACTTCCGAGTACCTTTTGCCTGTTAAGCTCTAGGTTTTATTCTCAATATGCCTTTTGAGTTGGTTTTAAGCTTACTGAGTTAGCAGCTTTCGATTTTTATATCCTTACCCCATTTTTATTAGGGCTTTGATCAAGACTGTCTTAGTGATCCTGATGATCTGATGTATTAATGTGTCTTTTATTCTGAATTCAAGAATTCAAGATTTTGATTATTTGTCGTGTTTTTTTTAGGGAAAACAAAGCGAATGTTAGTGGAAAAAATGGGCAAAGAAGCACTCCAACTTGGACATACTGATGCTGCGGTGAATGGCCTTGAGGAGAATACTCTGGTGGCCTCTTTTTGTGATTTGTTGGAGCGAATTTGGGCGCATGGATTGCATAAAAAACAGGTTTCTTAACATCATATAATTTATGTATAACAAAAACTATAAACTGAGAGATAAGAAAGGCGAGTTGAAGGCGAAAAAACCTTCAAGTTTCATATCAGATTTTGTACTTTGAAGTTTCATATTAGTCAAAATTTAATTGCATTGGCTCTGTATTCTATTCTATGAGGCAAAACCTTCTACTAGTGACATTACCTCTTGGCAAGCTTGACGATGGCTGTCTTCTATCAGAGTAAGCTAAGTGCACTTCAGTTACTTCCTGACCTTCGCCTTTATGCATTTTTCGATCGGAACAGTTCTTCGGATCGTATAGGGATTATCTTGCTGGCAAATTCGAATCATTGGCCCGAGTCTGAAAATGTCGCCTCTTACCATCACATCAAATTAGCCTTTTTCCGTCCCCGTAGTTGCAGCGGTCCCGAGATCAGAATCTTTTACGCGGATGATTTCTGTCATATAATTCGGCATTATAATCTGTTATTTTGCATTATAATCTTTTTGGTTGTTATAGCCTCATGAATTTTTCACGGTTTTCGAAGTGTAGGGACTTCGCACCTCCACTGTATTTCCAGTTTATATTACTTCTGTTTTCGCTCCTTAAGCAAGCAAGCCAGCGAAGGAACTCACTCACCAGCGGTAATAAGTTTGTAGGGGGAAAGAGTATCTTGTGGGAGTGTGGTATTAAGTTAAGCATTGTCAATGTGGATGATTCTGTTCTCACAGACCAACTGTCTTAGTCCAACATGTGAAAGGCTTGCCTTATTTCCTTGCAAAAGTATACTTTTATTTAATTACTTTTGAGTGTCTTCACCTAACCTGCAGCGGTAGAACATACAGCAGGTATAGATTTTTGAATTTTTATGCGTTTTGTGCTGTGTAACAGCAGTACAAAACGCATACTGTTACGGGGTTGTCTGTGT